ATACCATAAAGGAAAATCATGATCGAGACATACAATAAAATAGCAAGATAAAACATCCTTTTTTTAAAACTGTGTAAAGCTCTCATTCAATGCTTTCTCTCTTTGTTCACATGATATTCACTATTTTCCTTAACCTGCGGCTGAGACCTTTTCTATCTATATATACTGTGTATGCTAAAGGAGTAAAGGGGGGGGCACGTGTAGTCTATTCTATTGGTTGTTTACAAAAGCACTGAAACCCTAGACAGCTATCACATCTACTAGAAGACAATATTCCAGCTTGCATGAGAGAGAGGGTTGCTGCTGCATGGACCCGCATGATGACTGGACCGAGGGAGTAATCTCATTGGAGCTTCTTTCTGATTTGGCAATGCAGATATGAGAGAGCTTTGACTCCTTAATAGCTATAACCAGCCAATGCTATGTTGCTGTAACCAGCATCACATTATTTAATTTCCTGTTATAAACATGACATGAACTCAATGATACGTGGATCTGTACTAACTCAAAAATTGCAATTATATCCACCCAAAAACTATATAACAAAAATAATAATAATTTCAGCACTGCAGACTAGGAACTGACTAATCAACTTGCAATTAATTCACAATTTGAGGCAGTTCGAAACGTATAAAATTAATTATGTTCATGTCAAATTCATAATTTGAGGCAGTCCATTTAGATTTTTTCTTCAGATAAATATTAAGATTTCGTAATTAATTATTTAATGTCACATTCACGGTGAGTCATATGTTAACTCATATTGTTTAAAACTCAGAATAATATATTGATTAACAAAATGTGACAAAGCTCCCATTCTCAAAGACATGTTGGCTCACAAGGAGGCAATTTTGCGATTTGAAAAAATAAATAAATTCCAGAAGATTCTCTTACTTGCATTTTCTCATAAAATTTGTAATAGTAATTATTTATGCAGGGATTAAACTGTTAACAAATCAAAATTAAGTGGATTTAATGTAAACTCTGAGATAGGCTTTGCAGGGAGAGTGGATTAGTAGTGTGGGGTGCACGTGCAGCATGTGCGCTAATCGTGCGAGCCACAAAAAGTTTTGTGATGAAGTTAGGAATATAAATCAATTTAAACTTTGCCAGCCTTATTGGGTTTTGCTTTTTGCTGGAATAACTAAAAACTTCATGTGCTTATTTCATCACATACATAAATCTTTTGTTTGAAATAGTTATGTTATAAAAAATTTGTTTTGCACATTTGAGATGTATAATATATAGTATAAGAAATTAGAGCTTGATGTAAATTTCATTGTTCTCTTCATAACTTCTTTTATCTTCTAAATGAGTACTCTATGGAAGGAAGAAATTAGTACTCAATGTGATTGGAAATTTTAAATGCATAGATCACATGACCCAATATACAGCCGAATCAACCAGAACTGGCATAATTATTAGTTCAACGAAGAATCCTAAGACAGTACATTGATCTAAAAAAAATTGTATTTTAGAGTTTTTATTTGGATAAAGTTGTTAATTTGTGAACAAAATTTAATTCAGCTGGTTAAACGAGGTGAGTTCAAACAACTATTTAAACTCGCGCGTTTATTAAATGATGTCAGACGTGTTCATGAACAGCTCTTTTTTTGTCCGTTTATTAAACAAGTCAGTTTAAGTCGACTTGTTTATTAAACAAGGACGACGTTAATTATTAAATGGAAAAAGACAAATAGATATATATAGATACATATATATATATATATATATAGTAAATTAGCATTAAGAATTGGTGGTTTAATTATATATAGTAAATTAGCATTAAGAATTGGTGGTTTAATTATTCACTAACTTCAATAAATTCACTTCTTAAGTCTCATCTATTGACTATTACACATCATAATTAATATTTATTATTTCTGATATATTAATTATGAATTAAATAGGTAATTAGAAATTGCATGCATATTACTTTGGTTGGAAGAGAAGCATCAAAATTTGGACCTTAGACGTAGTAAACGGACAGCAAAGCCATCACATCTTTGGATTCTCTATGACTGTTTGATTAAGCGTTTAAGGGAAGTTTCAATCCCTTTGACCGCAAGCAATGTGAATATTTAGTCAAAAGTCAAACACAAAATAATATTTTTCATAGTCACACTCTTATTTTCATGTTCACATTTTAAGATTTTTGGTAAGTGAAGTTTGATTTTGTATATATAAAAGCAAGGTAAAAATATCGTTAAGTAGTTAGTGGAGTTGTAAAAGAGTCGATCTCGGAGCTCGTAGAACAAAAATCCTAATAAATTTTAAAAATTGCGTCAAAGCCCCTATTCATTAAGTCTTGAGGACTCACTCATCAATTAAATGAACTCGAATTTGATTCGTTTATCAAACGAGTCGAGTCACTTCGTTTAACAGTTTTAGTCATTAGAAAATTTATTTATTTATTTATTACACCTAAAAGCTTGTCATTTGCATTTTGCAGCTCTCATCGAGCCCCCATCCAAGGCAGCCTTTATACAGCACCTTTATAGCAAGTCCACTTAGAGGTTAAGTACAGTTTAAGGCAAAATAAATAAACAATAATCACATTGGTTATATAATATAGCTGGCTGTGAAGGGGATTATCATAAACTAATAAAGAAATTGGACTATTAAGCTAAAATAAATAAGTAGAAAATGGCACTTGCATTGTTTTGTAGCAACTAGCATGGTTATTACATTGACTAGTGAGTGATGAATTTCTATTCTAAAAGGAAAAGGCGATGGATGAGTTTTTTTTTATTTGTTTATTATTTGGATTATTAAATTAGCAATTGAAACATATATGGGGCACCTCTCGTTATTGCTAAAAATAAATGGGCCTTTTGAGGCCGCAACGAGCTAGGGATTAATTCATGACCTATAACGTAAAATGCATGAGCCCAGCCCAAATTTTGATTCACTTATCTTTGGAGTAAACAAACTTTCTTACCGGCAAAATTGACGACGATTTGTGAGAGTAACATCTGAATTAGGCCCAATACGGTACTTTCTTGGAAAAGGGCTGACAATGCCAAAGGGCCAGCTCCTGGTGGGCTGGGTTTTAATAGTATTTGGGCCGAGATTATCATGAGGCTGGTCGGTTGTTCTCACTTCAACTTTCCAACGTAAGACTGCAAACAAAGTAACAAACCGAACAGCTCGTGAACCACTCGAGTCAAAGATCGGCTTGAGCGACTTGAACATGTTATTAAGTCGACCTCGAGCATAGGTCTTGAAAGGTCGAGCTGCTCACGAGCGGCTCGAGATATATAATAATTACTAAAATACCATTGTATAGGTTACAATATCTATTACTATATGATACAGTTAAGAAATTTTTTTTGAAAAATTACATAAAATTAATTTTATTTTTCCACTCAAATGTTTATTTTCCCCCTCAAATTTTATTTAAAATATTTGGCTAACGTTTTATATGGTGGCTAACGTTATATATGGAAATAGATTTTATCATTCCACTTCCTTTTTTTAGCCAAATTCGATTTTTATTATAGTAATAGATTTCAATTCCTTTTTTTTGGAAGCGATTATGTATATAAATATTTTAAGATGGAACAAATTTTCGTTAACCAATCAAATATATCAGATTGTACGTAAGGTAAATAATACACAAACAAATTAGTAGAATCATATATTGGATGTGTATAAATTATTATGGTCTCAATTAGTTTAGATATTTGAATGTTTTAAATGATTTAAATATGTAACAAAAGAAATATTATATATCAAGTGTATCCTATATGATTTTCCTTAAATGAGTAAATCGGACCCATAACGAGAAAGAATATTGAAATTCTTGCTCCCAAAAAATCGATCAATTATTTTCTTAAATTTTTCAGTCGAACGTGTGAATTGGGTTACAAAAATCCGGTCACTTATTTAACGAATAAAAGATTTGAAATTTTTTGGAAATCTTTCCAAAAAGTCATGCCAACTTAATTGTTAAATATTTTTTTATCCATGTTTATCTATCTACAAATCTCATATTTATTTAACAAAGAATGTTATTTTCAGAAATTAATTTTTATTATTTCAGATTGTTCAACCTAATTGATGATTTTTTTTGTCCATATTTAAAGTTTAGAAAGAATCTCATATTATGTGGTTTTTGGTACCTATTTTTTTGTACACATCATTTTTCATTTCATACTCAAATTACAAATTTTAATGTGAATCTTAAATATCTCATATTTATTAAATATATATATATATATTTTAAGAAGCATGACGATTCATATAATTATTTTTATCATATATCATGTGTTGAATATTATTGGTTTGGGTGGGGACACTAATTGTATTCAAATAAATAACATATAATTTTTTATATTTTGAATTTATTTTATTGCAATAATGAGATGTTAAATGTAAATAATTATGTTTAAAATAAAATTTTAAAAATATTTTAAGTAATAAGCCCGTCCGTGCATCGCAGGGGATGCAACTAGTTTTATGTATGTACTTAGTAGTAGTTTTAATTAAAATTTGAGTAGAACTCGAGCAATCTTTCGAGCATTCTTATTTTAATCCATCTCGAGCCGAGCTCGAACGATTGTCTTATTTTGTTGAGTCAATCTCGAGCAGGTAAGAAAAATTCAATCTTATTTTATAAGGTCAATGCTCGACTCGGCTTGACTCGTTTGTAACCTTATTTCCAGGTACATCTAATTGTGATTGTTTTTATTAAAAAAATTATGATTGACTAACCATGAGACAACTTCTAAGATAACAACATTAAAATAACTTGCACCTTCAATGCATAGAATTTTGTAAAATGCAAATTTTTGTTAGTGTTTAGTTAAACATTGATATTTAGAATGAAAAGTAGTATTTTTTTTTTTTAATATGACTATGATGATAAATTTTGAATTTTGAAAAGAGATTTAACGACGTCTGTTGAATTATATACCATTTTTGCAATTTATTTTTATCCTTTTAACTTCTATGAATATCATATTTCCCTCTCTATTTACTTTTAATCTAAAGTTAGACCCCAATTGACGAATTGAATTGAGCCTTTGGCCTTGGACTCACTCCACCAGATATTCTCTTTTCACAGCTCACTGAAGGAAAACCAGTAAAATCCCAACAAAAAAACAAACAATTCCAGTTCAGATCTAGAAGATTTTCAATCCAAAATCGATCCAACCAAAAATGTTTTTACTTGATTGGTTTTACGGCGTATTGGCTTCCCTCGGGCTATGGCAGAAAGAAGCTAAGATCCTGTTCCTCGGCCTTGACAATGCCGGCAAAACCACGCTCCTGCATATGCTCAAGGACGAGGTCATTTTTCGCTTTTCGTTATTTCTTTTTTATAGAATTGACAATTGTTTTTTATATTTTGTTATGTTGTGTGGATCTCCGTGAATTAATTGTATTATCGGAATTTCGATTTGACCGCAGAGATTAGTACAGCATCAGCCGACGCAATATCCGACGTCGGAGGAGCTGAGCATCGGGAAGATTAAGTTCAAGGCGTTTGATTTGGGAGGACATCAGATCGCCCGTAGGGTTTGGAAGGATTATTATGCGAAGGTATTTGATTTCGACTAGCTTGTTTGATGCCTAGGTGTTTCTGATTATGAGTTTGCTCTTGTCGTGATTGTATTGTGTTTTGATTGTTGATGCTGTGATTTTGAGGAAGAAAGTTGAAACTGTGTTTATGGTTTACATCATTTTCCTGTGCTTGTTCGTGCTAGTTCATGGAGAATGATATTTTTCATGCGAGGTGGCCTAACCGTTGGGCGGGTCGACACGTTATACCCTTTTTAAAGCAAAAATGCATATCTATGCTATGAAAAGGTCATACTTTTGCTTTTGTTGTTATTTAGAGTATGATATTTCACTTTGAAGTATGTAAATCTATTGTAAAAGTATGACCGTCTTAAACCTGCCGAATAGTTTGTAGTCTTACTGTGTTTGCAACCATTTTGTTTGGGTTTTGTTTGATTTGGGTCGAATTTCTTCACTTTATATAATAGAATCGTGGATGGCAACATCAAAAGATGGAACCGGGAACAGTATTATTCAATTAAATATTGAAATGTGTGTATCTATATTTCTTGTTGTATATGTACTATTATGTGTATATGATTCTGCTTCAGAACAAAGCTGGGGGAATACATGTTTTTCTTTTTACTTTTTACCTTTTTTTTTCTGGTAATATGATTTATATGGCACATATACTTTCACCGATAGCAAGAAATATTCGTGTCCGATTATTTTCCTTTCCTTCAATCCTCACTTTGCAGACTTTCGTAGCTTACCACAAACGCTGAAGCAATGTATGTTTTTATAACATATGAGGTTGATCCTAGTTTGTCTATACCACCTCTCTTTTGTTTTCTTGGATTTAGCCAATCTCTTCCTTATTAAATTTCTACAAAAATTCTTGTACTATTCTCTTTTCGTAAACACATACTACTCGTTAAGCATGAACAGCTCACTGCATTTCTGGAATTTTTATTCCAATCTATATATCCAAGCTTTTTCAAACTGCATATATATTCATCAGTAGAAACATACCTGCAAAAAAAAAATGTATTCTTTTGACACTTTCCACATTTGCCTCTTTGTGATTTGCAGGTCGATGCTGTGGTGTACCTAGTCGACTCGTACGACAAGGAGCGATTTGCCGAATCCAAAAAGGAACTAGACGCGCTCCTTTCTGACGAATCCCTTTCAAATGTCCCGTTTCTCATTCTTGGAAATAAGATCGATATTCCATATGCCGCCTCGGAAGACGAGCTGCATTATCACCTCGGTCTAGCTGGCGTGACCACCGGAAAAGGGAAAGTCGACCTTACGGATTCGAACGTGCGCCCTTTGGAAGTGTTCATGTGCAGCATTGTTCGGAAAATGGGATACGGTGATGGCTTCAAATGGTTGTCTCAGTATATAAAATAGGTTTCGTTCGGGTGGCAAAATGGTTTAATAATTTGTTTGATGGTTGTAAATGGGTGTGCCCGAAGAATGATGAGAATATCGGGAAGAAGAAGATGAAGAAGAAGAAGAAGAAGAAGATCTATTCATTTTCTTGTGTTGGGGAAAAAGATTCATTCTTATGTAATTGATTTGGTGATGTGGTTATTGAAACTTGCATGGTTTGTGGGTTTGGATCTGTAAGGTAAGTGGAACTTGATAGGTACTTGTGTTGTGTGATGACTTTTTAAGGGGTTTCTTTTGTTTTGTGTTCTATTTTAGACATTAGCTAGGGCTATAAATTCTGTACTTTTCGGTGCTGGAATATTAGCTTCTGTAAACGTCATGTTTCGAAGGTTTTTAACTTCATTCTTTTAAGTTGCGGCCTTGTGGGTTAAGAAAGATGAGTTAATTATCGATTTGGGACCCGAAAAATGGTTGACGGAAAATTTGGAATTAAAAAGATTAAATCTATTGATTTAGGACTCAGAAGATATAATCAATTTAAAGCGCTAAATATGTTGTCAATATGATAAATAAAAACATAAAAGCTCTAAATATGTTGTTAACATGATAAATAAAAACATAAAGATATAAATAAAACTAAAGAAAAATATGCTTTAAAAGTATTAACAAATTTTTATACACAAGATCATTTATAAAATTAATAAATTTGAAAAATAAATGATATTCGATGAAAATGAGATGATATTTTTTTTTAAAAAAAAAAAATAACCCACTTCTATCTTGTAGAAAAAAAAAAGAACGAAGCTAAAATTTCATGATGTTTTGGTTATCTTGATGGACATTTTACCACATGTTAAGAAGAATATTTCCGGTGTTAATTATTAAAGTACTAAATAATAATTTCATTTTTTTTTTATTTCTTGAATGAATGTATTTTATGTTTCAAGTTTATAACCGATAGTTCGACTGCTTTTCTAACTCCAAATTAATATAAACTGGAATCTCAAGTCGATAGTTTCATATCCTAGAGATAAGAATCCGAATTAATATAATTTATCTCTTAGATTCCAAATTGAAGTAGGATTAAGCTTCCAAACCTACACAATAAAACTCCAATACTTCTTTACCATCTATTTATATTTATAGAGATTGTAATGATTTTTTTGATATAGTTTATTGGCATGATGCTCGTTTGATAAGTGATCATAACTCAAACTGATTTAAAACTCGTTTTGTTAATGAGCCGAGCAAATGTTTAATAAGACTCGAAAAGATACTTTTTTATAGTTCACCTCATTAAGACGTGGACTCAACTCCTGTATACTAGTTTATGTGGTAAGACCATCATAAACCACTTGTTCCTCGAAACATGAAAAAGATAAATTAAAAAACCAAAGGAAATAA